CCACATCATCGAGTGCAAATTTCGGGGCACTCTAGTGTTCAATCATCTTCCACCTTCAAGTCACGAATGGCGGACTCGCCAATCTAACTATTCAGGTTTAAGAAGATTGAACAGGGGCATCTGTTGTACCCCAAAATTTTCCCTCTAAATTTCTCAAGATATATCTCACAAAGATTTTCAAAAGCTCAAGTTTGCATAAGTACAAAGCAGATCGAAAGGAGTGACGGAAGACAACAATTCGAATTTAAAATATGGCATCTGGCCTCCTTCAAACTTGCTTAAAATTCCCAAGCTTCGATTGAGGCAATGGCCTGTTGCATGCTTGCTTCATACAAGCTTCAATTGAACAAATGGTCATATTCATGCTAGCTTCGACTGGGCATCGTTTCCCTTTGAAACAACTTCCTTCGATTCAGAAGACAAGGGCCTCCTGTTGGTGTCCTCCGATTCAAAAGTTAGTGGCTTCCTATTGGCTTCTCTCGATTAAGAAGGAAACGACCTTCTAAAATCTTCCTTCGATTTAGAAGGCAATAACCTTCTGAAGGCTTCCTTTGATTCAAAGCAGGGACCTCCTGCATGCAAGCTTCAGTTGCACCATTGGCCCCTTACATGTTTTCCTTGATTCACAAAGAAGGAGCCTCCTGCATGCAGCTTTCGATTGGACATTGGATCTTCATGCAAACCTTCGTTTGAGTAATGTCCTCTTGTATGCTTGCTTGGAGTCACAAAGCAGTGACCTCCTGCATGCAGCTTTCAATTGGACATTGGATCTTCTTGCAAACCTTCGTTAGAGAAACGGCCTCTTGTATGCTTGCTTGGAGTCACAAAGTAGTGACCTCCTGCATGCAGCTTTCGATTGGACATTGGCTCTTCATGCAAACCTTTGTTTGAGAAATGGACTTTTGTATGCTTGCTTGGAGTCAAAAAGCAGTGACCTCCTACAGGCAAGGTTCGATTGGACAAGGATTACCTTCTCACAAAGCTTCGATTGGAGTTTGGTTTCCTTCGAAGCAACATACTTCGAATCCAACTCTGAATCCTTCGAGCAAGCTTAGCTGAAGACCATTGATCAAATCTTATAGCCTTATCCTCCAAATATCACTTGTCAGGATATGTTGCTTCCAAATCTTTACATGATCAGAGGCTTACACAAATTTGTGATACATTACACAAAGGTTCCAAGCTTTATCCATTGAATTATCCGATTTTTGGATGAAATGGAAAAAAGCTACATATCCTTTTTTCATAAAGATTACTTTAATCACAAAGTTAGTTTTTTGAGCTCCCAACCTGATTTTATCTGAACACAAGCAGTGCCAAAAGCATGAGTCCAATCTCCTGCCCCCAACAGACATAAAGCCCCCACTTGTACTTGAACTTGGGAACTATGAGAATCCATAAAAAACTTGATTCTTTCGTTTTTAACCAAACCATGGTTTGTTATCTTACCAACCTAGTTACTCTAACATCTCTAACCTTTTCTTTATAAATAGAGAAACCGTTTGCAAAGAAATGGATGCTTTTGTAGCTGGAGAAACTTTGGTTATGTGAAAATCATCAAACACTTAACACACTTTTAAACCCATAATCAAAAGAACACACTTTGTTCTTTCTTTCGAATCCAGCAAAAGAAACACCACAATTGTTTCTTTTCCTTCGAAACCAGAAACAAACAAACACAACTCCACTCTTCTTGGCCTTCGAATCCAGTCAAAGAAACACCACACTTGTTTCTTTCCTTCGAATCCAGAACCCAGGGAGACACCAACCCAACACTTGGTTCCTTCTTTCGAACCCATCACTAGAAACAGAACACTTGTTTCTTCCCTTCGAATCCAAGAACACACAGGGCAGCAACTCAAGTTCAAAACCCACATTCCATCTTCAAACAAGGTAAGTCTTCTTAACCTTAAACCTTTCGTTTCAAGCATGGCATGTAAATAACCATTTCCTTTCGTTTCAAACATCATTATCCTTTGGGGTTTTTTCGTTTCCACCTTTTGTATTTATTCTCGTTTCTAATCTTTTGGTTGGCTTGTCATACATATTTCAAGAACTAACCTGACCATGAAATAATAGCATGGCTTCAACCCATGCTTCTATTTAACCCCAAACGAAAGAAAACAGGAAGAAGGATGTATGAATCGAAGCCTTAGGCTTCGCCCCATGCTGCTATCTAACCCCAAACGAAAGGAAGCAGAAAAAGGACGTGATCAAAGGGTACATACTCATGTTGCTTTGTAGGTCCCAAACGAAGGGCAAGAAAGGTGAATCAAAGGGTGCACAGTCACGCTGACTTCCAGTCCCAATTGAAAGAAGCAAGAAAGGTTTGAATCGAAGGGCGCTTACGGCCTAGATCGAAGAACTTGTTTTCCCTTCTTTTTTTGTTTTGTTTTTACATTTTCTTACTGTTCAATATGGTTGTAATAGCGTAGGACCTTTATTTTCCGTATTTTTATTATTTTCATAAATTGTAGTAATTAAGGTGTATGGTAAGATAAAACCAACAAGTAGACCATCCTAATCAAAGAAAAAAATGCATGCAATCAAACACACTATTCACACACATGCACCTCTAGGGTAACCTCACTTTTTGCCTCGGAAAATAGTCATGTCCCTCGAACATGGGCGTTTTAGCAAAGACCCTCGATAAAAGATCGTAGTCCCTCGATGTTGCCTTCGGTAAACGATCTAGTCCCTAACGAAATTACTAAAACGTCTCATAGGTTGCTTTCTATGACTACAAACGATCCACGCCCGTCCCTTCACATCCAACGATGGGGCTTCTTCTCAATCAGTAGTAAGATAGCAACATCTAAAAGAGGAGGAAAAGAACAAAGACCTTTCGAGTAGGTAAGACGCTCGTAGTTGCTTGCTTGCTCACAACTAAAAAACATTTTCACACTAACACTTTCAATTGAAATATTTTCAAAAGTCAAAATACTTTGTACGCATTTTTATAGAAACGAGAATCATTACAAAGAAACTTTTCAAAATCACTTTCAAAAAACATCTTCTACAACAAACATCTCTTTGAACTATTTTCAAAACCAACACTTTATACGCATTCTTATAGAGATGAGAATCATTACAAAGACGTTTTCAAAATATTTTCAAACCCACACCACAGAGCACACTTTCAAACAAAGAAAGTGATCTAGCTAGCAACTAAGAGCCCGTAGAAAACTACGGATGAAAAGGGTGCTAATACCTTCCCTTTTCATAACCTACCCCTCAAACTCAAGAAAACATCTCTAAAGGTCTTTCCTGTTCTTTTCACTCTTTCCTTATTGGATAAAAGAAAAGCCGGTGGCGACTATTGCTATCCGCAACAGTTGCGATCAAACGCAAAACAACCAAGTCAGTTCTCTCACCGTATTACACAATCCAACAAAACTTATTAACATACATAACAATAACAACAAAATAACAACAACATATAGGAAGTAAATAATTTGAAAATCTCCATGGGGGTGTTTGAAAAGCTAAGAAGAACGAGTTTGATTCAGGGTGTGCATGTCAAACTCACTCAGAGTGCTTAGAGTTTAAGTTATGCTTACTTAAGCCAATGGACTTACATAAGTTGTTTCATGCCTACATTTATCAACAACAACATACAACAATAAAAAACCATAAACTATCTAATAAGAAGAAAATCATATGAAAACCATGTGAAACATAACAACAACATACACGAAAATGAGAGAATAAGGAAGAAGAAGAATACATTTATGTATGAAGAATAAGATCGACGACTATATTAGAGAACATGAAAGCTAATGACGAAGAAGAACAGATAAAATGGGTTCTAGGGTTTTGATGTGAAAGATACGGCGATAATGTCAAGAAGCGATAGTTAATTCGCTTATATATGGGTAAACAATTGCACAACGATTGAAATTGCCAATCATGGTGATATGTGTGTGTGTGTGTGTGTGTGTGTGTGTGTGTGTGTGTGTGTGTGTGTGTGTGTGTGTGTGTGTGTGTGTGTCACAACGCTTTAACAAAATAACTGCAGTGTGTGTGTGTGTGTGTCACAACGCTTAACAAAATAGTTGTAGTGACATCCCTTTTATTCTTAACGTTAAGGAAATAAATTATTTGATAGAGCCGAGGTTTGAACCCATGAAAGCTTGATTGTATAATCACGGTTATCTCAACAACCGTTATTATAACCTAACAATTTTTAATTAAATTTTTTTAAAAAATGTTAACGCCTGAGTTTCAAGATGTCACCACTGTGTTTGATAGAACTGTGGTAAATTGAGCGTTATTTTTAACGCATTTTATAATAGTGTTAATTTCATCTACACAAAAATGACCTTCCAAACTAGCAGCCTCTTCACTACTAAGGTGGTTAAAATTCACTCCCACTAGCTTAGGTCTTCTTATCCAAGGTTCTTTAGTCCTTTTGACAAAATGATTTTTAATTTTAACCTTAATCTCCTTCACTTGAGAAATCAAATCTCTAAAACCCTTTAGAAACACAATATCATTTCTCCTAAACCTAATTTTCATTAAAGAGTGAAAGAACTTTGAATTAGCATCTACATCACAAACCTACCTAAATCTAGATTTTTTCCCGCAACATGATTTCCTTAAGATTCAAGTTACCCTAAACCTTTTTTGATGTTTCTACTCTCTTATCAGCTAAAATGTACTCTAAATTCTGAGTCATAACATATGTTTCCTCCAAATCCAACATGTTAAGTTCCTTCATGAACTCATCGCCTTAAAATTATTTTTACCAAAATTATTAACATTCCACCTTCTTAAATTATCTCTTAACAATTTAAGCTTTTCCTTATCACAAACGCACACTTACCACGAACATCACAAAAGAGGGATAGTGCATGGTGGTTTAAAGCAACAAGCAAGAAAAATAAAATTGAAAAGAATTATTACAAAACCTCTTAAAGCTGAAAAACACTACTAGTAATATTAGCTTACTACATAGTAGTGCAAATTATTTCTTCTAGTGCATGCATGCATGCATGCTTCTATATTCTAACAGTCCTAAACAAAACAGAAAAATCGAAGTGTTTCTTATAAGAATCCCAATGGAACCCAATTTCATCATCTTTCTTCAACCCCCTTCTTACAACAAAGTCATAAACCCACTTGTCAAAAAAACCATAGTTTCCTGAAGAAACACATTTCTTGAGAGTCAACACATGCATTGTATCAGTGTCAAAATCATAAACCCTAACAAAACTTCCTCTTTCAAGATCAGCACCAGCATCCAACACAGGCAACACCAATTCTTCAGCCAAATCTTTAGCCAACAATAGCTTATCTTCAAGATCACTCACTTGAAGCACTTTCTTGATTTTCCATGGATCATCATATAGGACTAGTTTTGTTGTGTAACCCCACTCTCTTCTTCCAATATGATAGGCGTGTGTTTTTGATATGGGACATGGACACACACTCAATGATAAATGAGTGCATGTTGTGTTGAAAGGATAAATATTAGTCATACAGAATGAAGAGATTTTTTTTCTTTGTGGAATTAAGAAACTTGATTTACTTATTTTATAGAGAAAGTATGGAGCTTATAGGGTAAGTCAAGAGAATTACTAATATTGGGATTTACATATACACAAAATTAATTATGAGGTTTCTAAAATTTTAAGCATTACTATTTTATCTTAAAAATATGTAAGACTCAAATGACAAAATAATTGAATCAAATATATTGATAGTAATATTATATTTACTAAACAATTTTTTAATTAATTTATCTTTAGGAGGAAAACGTAATTTATTTTTAACTATATAGTATTATTGCTTACCAAAAAGAGATAAGATAATTAGGGATATTTTAATAAATAAATACTTCGTATTAGGTAAAAATTTGTAGAGGATCCTTCAACAAAACAAATAATTAGTATTTGGTAAAAAATTGTAGAGGATCCTCAAACAAAACAAATAATTAAACATATTCTATTTTATTTATAATTCTTAAAATACTTAAATATATTATTTATTTTAGAAGGAAAAAAAAAGAGTATTATTGTATTCTATTTTCTTTTTGATATCTCATATTTAGAAGTAAATCTGTTAGAATATTCAATTGGATTAATGGAGATTTTGTGTTTGTAGAGAAGATAAAATGAGAAAATAGGAGAATCAGAGTGAGAGAATAATTGAGTGCGAGAAGAGAAATTATCATTAATTTTCACACTATACTACCGAGGGTATTTATACAAGCAAGCTACAACAATTGAGATCAAAAAATATAAAATAAATAGGCTAAAAATTCAAAAACTCAAGTTGGTAACCGGCTACGCCAAATACTGTAACCTGTTACCACAGTCAAAATCACCGAAAATACAATATGTTATAACCAGTTATGCTATTTGCTGTAACCAGTTACCGTCCCGAAATACTGCTTATTTTGCCTCCAGAAGTGCTTATTTGATAAGTTGTAACCTCCAATCAACTTCTAGTAGCTTTTTAAATGAATTTGAATTATTATTTACTTCCAATACACTACTTTAATTCAAGTGCTCCAAGTTCTTCTAGTCCATGTCCATCTTGAATCTCTTCAACATATCATTTGTGACTCTCTTTGTCAACAAATCAGCAACTTAATGTTCACTTCTACAATATCTCAACCTTAGCTTGCCTTTAGTAAACAAATCCCTCGAGTAGTGAAACTTCATTTTAATATGCTTGCTCTTCCTTGATAACGCGAAATTATATTGTATATTCTACTCGACTCACATGAATTATGTTACCGTTTTTAGTTATTTATATCATATTATGCTGGTAGTGCTATTGTATTTTAGGTACCTCCATCCACAAAGCCTGTATGAGACAAGAAGATAAACTGACAGAGGAAATGAAAAGAAAAAGGAAATAGCAGAAGGAAGAAAAGAAAATTAGCACACAGAAGGTTGTGGCCCTCGCCACACCTTCTGTGGCGCCCGCCACTTACCCCAAGCATGTGGCCCTCGCCACATTTCCATGGCCCTTTCCATGTATGCTAAAAGGATGTCACAATTTTATTTGTTCCAGCCATGTATGATTTTTGTTATTTTGTTTTGGATTTCTCCACGTCAGTAACAAATGAAGCTCAGTTCCCCAATTATTTCTCCAGACAGCTGAGTCTTCCCGACTATCTCTCCATGAAGCCTCAACTCTTGATTATTCTCCACGAAAGTTACAGTGAGCTTATAAATTTCGTTAGGCTTATTTCCTACTTGTTTCGATTGTAATTTTCGTGGAACCATTGCAACATTAGTTTAGGCTTATTTCCTGCTTGTTTCAATTGTAATATGGAATACCTAATCCTGTCGGCATCTATGGAGGATATTACTTAAAGTTACAGTTATCAGTGTTTCCCTTTTATTCAATTTATTTTCAGGTTTTATTTCATTTGCAATTTAGTTTTAATTTACATTTTCTAAAATGATGTTCTACTTAATATCTCTAAACCATAATTGTATGTTAACGTTTAAAACCATGTCCGACTAGAGTATTTGATATCGGTATGTAAAGTAGTCTCACAAATGGGGTTCGGTAAATTATTGGCATAAATTTTCATAAACTATTTTTCTGGTCTAATTTCTAATTCTAATTTATACACTTTTTTTATGAGAGTAAAAGACACAATAAGGTTATAATCAACACAACGAGAGTTTGAGATTTTTTAATCAGATAGTAGAAACTAGGCATTAATTCTGAATACAGCGAGAGCACTTTAAGGTTAATTAGAATCTATTGATTTCTAAAATCATTTCTAAATTCAAATGAGACAGCGAGAGCAAAGCATTCTGATTTATGAGTTTAGTCAGAGTCAATAAACACGAGAGTGTGAGACAAAGAATTTTAAATTGATATTTTCTACTGAAGAGTATTTTAAAATTTAAAGACTATGCCAACGATTTATTAAATCTTTAAGGTCTGATGAATTTTATATCAGTGTCCCTTATCTGAATATTTTTAATAGAATTCACATTTATTTTCTGTTTTCCCAAAAACCCTAGATTAATAAATTAACCTTAGATTTACACAGTAACATTAGATATCATTAGTTTAATTAATAATTCATGTTGATTCGATATCTTTTAAAACTACGCGATTAGATTGTGCACTTGCAGTCAGTAAACCCGATAGACTCTTAAAGTCGCAACCAAGTTTTTGGCGCCATTACCGGAGACTGATTTAGTCAATATTGTGAATCCTTTGTTACGTAGTATAGACTAAGGTAGAAATTATATTACCTTTAATCTGTTGATTGTATGCCAAACACTCACTCTCAAGGCAAAGAATTAGAGCAACTAATCGATGAGGTCGAGTGTTTTATTAGTATAAGACGCCGAATTAGAGATACCAAATTAAGTACAAACTTCTCGAATTCAATCTTCCCAACTTTTATCTTCCTGAACCTGAACCAAGAATGGCTGAAGGACTCCGAAGTCGTCATCTGAAGGATTATGCTATCCCATCACAGGAGGAACCTCACAACATCATTGCTTCCCCCGCTATCGCTCGAAGTGATTTCCAGTTAAAACCTCCGTTGCTAAAAGCTGTCCAACAAAACCAGTTTTCAGGATGTCCTACAGACGACCCAAACCTTCATTTATCAGTGTTTGTGCAGTACGCAAACATAGTAAAGGAAAATGGTGTCATCCCTGAAGCAATAAGACTACGTTTATTCCCTTTCTCATTACGAGATAGAGCTAGAGCTAGAGCTTGGCTCTAATCTCTACCATCCAACTCTGTTACCACATGGAACGAGTTGAATAAAGTTTTCCTAGCGCGATATTTTCCGCCAAGTAAGACGGCTATGCTAAGAGCCAATATAAATGGTTTTAAACAAAATGGAAGCGAAACTCTTTTCGAAGCATGGCAAAGATATAAAGACATGTTGCGACTTTGTCTGCATCACGGTCTAGAAGAATGGCTGATCATCCACACCTTTTACAATGGTATCTTGTATAACACAAGATTGACAATAGACAATGCATCTGGTGATGCACTGATGGATAAACCTTACCATGACACTTATCAACTTATCGAAAGTATTGCTCAAAATTATTACCAATAAGGAAGCGATAGAACCATTATGGAGAAACCTCAAACGAAAGGTGTTATGTACGAAGTTAGTAGTTTAGACCAAGTTAACACTAAGGTAGAAGCCCTTACCCAAAAGATAGAAAGCTTGACCACAACTCCTGCAGCCACTGTGGCTGCAATAGCTCCAACCTGCAATTTATGTAGACTTCACATACATGTTGCGCCCGAATGTCCACTTTTAACAAGAGTACCAATTGATCAAGTGAATTATGCTCAAGGGAACCCTTACGGTAATACCTATAACCCTACCTAGAAGAACCATCCAAACTTTTTGTACATAAACAAAAATGCATTATATGCACCTGGCCAAGCTCCTGCTACACCGACAGGATATCAGAAAGTCGCCCCAATTGTTCCAAATGTTCATAGGAAATCTAATATAGAAATCATGATAGAAAATTCAGTAGCCACTCAAGCTCAACAAAACAAAGATTTTCTAAATCAGAACATACACACTAGTGAACAACTCAATCAACTATCAAACAAGGTTGATGCCCTAGCCACTCATAACAAAATGCTAGAAACACAAATCTCTCAAGTGGCTCAACAACAAGCAGTTATTGTTTCTCCAACTGAAACTTTTCCTGGACAACCAAATCCAAAAGGTCATGATAATGCTATAATACTTCGGAGTGGGATGGAATTGAATGGACCAACTGATCCAAGAACCAAAAATCCAGCCATGTATCAGAATATTGGTAAACCGACTAAAAAGGAAGGTGGACCAAAAGAAGATGAGAAGGAAGATAACAGTGAAGAGGCCAAAGAGAAAGAAAACCGTATGTGCCTCCATCACCGTACAAACCACCAATACCGTACCCTCAACGGTTAGCTAAGTCTAAAAATGTAGAGCGGTTTAAGAAATTCGTTGAACTTCTGAAACAATTAAATATCACTATACCTTTTACAGAAGCTATCACATAAATGCCCTCTTATGATAAGTTCCTAAAAGAAATATTATCCAATAAGAAAAATCTCAAAGACAATGAAATCGTTATGCTTAATTCAGAGTGTAGCGTTATAATTCAAAACAACATGCCTCCTAAGCTAAAGGACCCTGGTAGTTTTTCCATACATTGTGTAATCAGAAAGTTTGTCATAGACAAAGTTTTATGTGACTTAGGATCCCGTCTTAGCTTAACGCCCTTATCAATTTGCAAAAGGCTCAACATGGGAGAATTGAGACCAACAAGAATGTATGTGCAACTAGCTGATCGTTTAGTGAAATTTCCTTTAGGTATGCTAGAAAATATTCTAGTGCATATCAGATAATTTTATATTCCCACTAATTTCATTATTGTGGACATCAAGGAGGATTCTAACATCCCTATTATATTAGGAAGACCATTCCTCGCCATCGCTGGAGCCATTATTGATGTAAAAAGGGGTAAAC